CAGCTCCACGTCCCTGTGCTGTTGTTCCCCAGGGAACAGGAGGCAGCTCTGCAGGCGGGGTCAGACCCGAGGGGTCAGAGGGTCTCAACTCCCCCCTCACGCTCTGGGGTCACGTCCCACTCCCGGTTCGGGGGCTTCGCGCCCGCCCCTCCCGCACTACAACTCCCGTCATGCCCCGCGGGAGCCCCCGGGCGCGCTCCGCGCACGCGCAGCGGGGCCGCGCCGGCGACGTGGAGGCGGGCGGGGACCGAGAGGGGCCGTGAGGGGACCGGGAGCGGCGGCGGCCGAGGGGCCCGGGACTGACCCCGCACCGACCCGGCTCTGACCCGGCACCGACCCGGCTCTGACCCGGCACCGACCCGGCTCCGACGGTAAGCGCGGCCTCCGCGGGTGGACTCGGCGGGCGCCGGCTCCGAGAGGGGCCCCCGAGGTCGCCCCCGGTTCTCCCAACGCCACCGTCCCCTCGTGGCGCGGGCCCGTGTCGCGACAGAGGGAGGGATGCGCTTGTGTAAGTCGGCACCGGCGCTGCGGAGAGTAACATCAGCACCGCCGTGTCCCCGGCCGGGCTGAGGCATCTCCAGGGATCCCTTAGGGGAGATCCAGGGATCTCTCGCAGAGTCCCCAGGATGTGCCGGTGTCGCTTTATCCACCCCCCGGGTGCTCCCTGACAGGCATCCAGGGATCCCTCGCAGGTCCACAGGATGTGCCTGTGTATCTTAGGGATCCAGTGATCCCTCACAGCGTCCCCGGAGTGTGCCTGTTCCCCTTAGGATTCCTCACAGGGTCCCTGGGATGTGCCTGTGTCCGTTAGGAATCCAAGGATCCCTCACAGAATCTCTGGGATGTGCCTGTGTCTCTTTATCCAGCCCAAAGGTGCTCCCTTGACAGGGATCCAGGGATCCCCTCAGGGTCCCCAGGATGCCCCTGTGTCCTTTTATGTGCCCTCAGTACCAGAATGCCAGAGGTTCACACCTGTATTACCGGAATGCCAGAGGTTCACACCCGTATTTCGTGTTTTGTGCTCATAATGACATTTATTATTCGTGCATAGGTGATAAATTGGTGTATTTTCCATCCTCTTCCTGAGAACCAGAGCGTTTTCTGGTGCTCTGCACCATCTCAGATCTGCTCACTCCACCTCCTGCTCTCTCCTACCACTTGTTTTCATGCTTCTGAAAGACAATATTTATTGAAAGCGAGGCATATTTGACTTTAAAACAGAATTTGTCTCTTACCAGGCTTTGTATTACCTCCTCTGCCTTCATGCCAAGCACTGTTTGTTTGGTTTTTTTTAAACTTATTTATTCTTTTTAATCTTCTGTGCTGAGCATAGGGAGTTCGCGGGGCCGTAATCTGATTTCTCCCCTTGCCTGTGCTGAGGGATAACGTGTTTGGGCTGCACCTCTAATCATTGGAGGTATTTGCAGGAGTAACCAGGCTGTTGATATTCCCTGCACGGATCACTTTTGGGAGTGCAGGGGAGTGGAAAGAGGCTCCCGGGTGGTTGGGCCCAGTTTCCCAACGCAGGGTTGTGTAACCCCACGCTGTGTCAATTCCCAGCTGAAAACCATTGAAGTTGCTCCAGTTGGGGTGGCTTCAAAACTATTCTTGCTCCTTGGATTGCCAGGAGCTTGGGAAGGCCTTGTCCTGTCCTTTCTATAAGCTGTGTTGCCTTTCCACGTTGCTTCTGTATCAGCAGAAGCCCATGGACGGCCCAGGGAATGATGGACCCAGCTCAGCACTCTCACCTACCTGGAGCATCCGTTAGATCCTCTTCTTCCAGCCCTGTGTTGGTGTTTTACTGGCACAGCCTTGAATCCCTGATATTTCCTGCTAAATTCAGCAATAAAGTATTTATAGCAAATTATTGCTAAGATCAGGTGGCTCTGGTGCTTCCTTCCAGTGCTTTTATCAGATTAATAGGAAGATCCCAAGATCACAGAATCCCAGAATCCCAGAATGGTTTGGGAGGGAAGAGACCTTAAGGAACATCTCATTCCACCCCTGCCATGGGTAGGGACACCTCCCAAGTTGCTCCAAGCTCTGTCCAACCTGGCCTTGAACACTTCCAGGGATCCAGGGGCAGCCACAGCTTCTCTGGGCAGCCTGTGCCAGGGCCTCCCCACCCTCACAGTCAACAATTCCTTCCCCATATCCCATCTAACCCTACCCTCTGGCAGTTTTTAACATACTTTGTTTTTTACATTGGTGAGGTGTTTTTAACATGCTGATGACTGACAAAAGTTACTAAAAGCAAGAAATCCTGTTTGGTGGCTGATGAGCTGATGTCAGAGTGGGAGATTAAAGATTGTAACAGTATTTCTTCAAAGTGTATTTTGTAGAGTGGGAAGCCTCTTGTACCTTGTAGTAATCCCACACTCTGGCAAGTATAATTTCATTTGCAGTAGATCCTGGAGATAGGTGATGTAAATCATGATGTGTAATATAATAAAAAATTCTTACACATAAAAAAGAGATTTGTCCTTCTGCACAACATACTTTTTTATGCTGTGGATAGATTTCTAGCTGTGACAAACTTCTAAAGCAGAGACGAACAGCCCTGTTGTAAAAATATGCATAATTTCCAATTCAAGAAGAGTACAGATGCCAAAATAATTGTATAACCTTTGAAATACAGAAACATATACCAATATTGAAACAAATGCAGACTTTCTAATGGACATCAGAGCACCTGTTTGAAGCTTTAAAGGTGGTTGAATAATCTTTTTGAAACATTACTTTGGCCATTAGGCAGGTTTTATTTATGTCTGGGAGAAAGTCTTTGTGTGTAACAATAATCTTAACACTCCTTACATAAAGAAGCTACATAGTTTATTAAACCATGCTGGGTTTTTCCTGACTTGTGTCATATCCAACCCGGCTGCCTGTTTTAATTGTGGTGAAAACTGAATGGATTTCTATAAATTGATGTTTAGGTATGTGTACTGAGTATTAAAACAAACAAACAACAAAAAAAAAAGAGGGACAGATTCAACAAAAACATTCTCATATTGAACAAAATTTCCGACACTGCAATCCATCATAGGTTGTCAGGGTGTTGGTGTAACGTGTTTTCGAAGGCCACTGCTGTATTTGTGGTGTTAAAAGTCTCTTTTTGGCTGCTGGAAGAAGATAAAACCAGCAACATTGGTACTGATGTGCAGTTATGCCAAGTCAGGTCTCTTTATGCATATTCTTGATTAGTCTTTTTTTTTTTTAAGCTCCATATCCCTTTGACGCTCTTTTACTGTTTAAAGTTCAGTTTGTTGGTCTTGTTTCGTAGTTCCAGCACAGCCATCCTGCAGGCAGCAGGAGTCTCACCGGTGAGGGCAAACACCAGATTTACAGAGGTACCTGCCCACTGCAAAGAGCAGAGATAGTATTTTAATTTTCCTTTCTTGAAACTTTTGCAAAGTGTGTTATTTACCTGTGACAGTTTCATAACGGGTGCAGAAAGCTGAGCCTTTTACACAGAGATTGTAAGGTGTGCTTGACCCAGCCTTCCTCCCTTCTGACTGTGTTTACTAATTGGATTAAAGAAATTACTTCTGCATATACTCCAGAAAACACTGGCTGTGTTTGAGTGCTGACCTTTCCTTGGTGTGTAGGAATGTCTGAATAAGGATAGAGGTAACTTTTTTTTATAATTGCCCCCACACCACCTCTCCTCCCCCTCTGCCATAGGACGTTTTTCTAAAACTGATTCTGTCATTCTGCTCTCAAATTCGTCAGATTGGTGCAGTAATTATTTCACGAAATGTTATGTAGGAGTTATGTCAGAAAAATTATCGGGTTTGTAGCTTTAAATTTTGTTAGCTCCTGATAAATTTTAGAGGCTTTTGTGTCTTCAGGGAGATTTGGCCACAAGTGTGGTGTTTTGGTGTGGGCGTGTAACTGCCAGCATTAAAAACGGACAAAATTGAGGAGTCCCTAACAGATCTTGTGGATTTTTGTGTCCATGAACTAGAGATATGTTTTGTTGCATGTGTGGGAATGGGACAAAGAAGTCCTTAGATGCTATAAATGTTTATTTACTCGTAAAAGTTAAATGGCAGCTCTCTGAACTTCTTAACAGAAAGGTGTTTGTGGGATTCAAAAAAGCTCCTTCCAGAGATTGAACATGTACCTGCTGTCCTGCCCCTGACAAAACATGGTGACTGAGGGCAGAGAGGACAAAAAGCTTAACATAAATTAGTTGTGTCACCTAATGATTGTGTGTTAATGGAGAGGCCAATACTTGGTGGGTGGAAATACAACAATTTGGGGGTTTAGGTCTTCAAAACAGGATTATTGTTTGTCACAAGCATACATTTGCTTTATTG